TTTGGACCAAAACCATAAAAATTCTTATTTTAGTGTGTTTTATTTTTTGGATTTTTCTAATTTTTAGCATGCTTCGTTCTAGGCTCCGTTGATAAGTGGTAATTTTTTTCTTTATTTTTTTCTATGTATTTCCAAGTCTAACAAGCATAAGTTAGGCGCGGTAAAGTTTTAGTAATATATCGCAATAAATGATGAACATTCTAAACAGAACACGATATTTTAAAAAGTATATGAAATTATATGTTATAGTATTTGTTCTTTTTAGGACTAAAGTGAAGCAGATTACCAGATTTTTTTAAATTCATAAATTCGTGATTAGGACCAACCTTTATCTACCTCTTTGCAATAATCAATAATGACCACTTCTGAGGTGTAAAGTTTAACTAGAAGTCATGTCTAAACACGATAAAAAATTGTTTGTTATGTTCAGAAATTACCATTTTTCACATCTCATTAATGAGGAATTGGAGCAAATCTTATCAAGTTGGAAACGTACAAGATGCTACTAAAAATATTAGCTTTTCTATACAGAGTGCAACGTAACCACAAGGATGAAATTAAATTTACTGATACTGAAATTAATAAAGAAAAATAATTTGAATCTAACAAATCGTTATGATTAAATTCGGCTTTACTTTGCTGTCGACTGTAACCAAATACATACACTAAAAAATCCTGTCTTTTATTTAAAGTAATTATTAATAACTCCCAATTAACTAGATCATCAGTATAAATCACACTGATATCTACGATTTTGTGTTGAATTATAAAAGAAAATTATTAAAAGTTTTAGCCTAGTTTTCTCACGCCTCAAATTAAAAATAATATAGTAATCACTTTAGAATTCTTTACAAACTCATACTTTACGAATATGAAACTATTCAAATAAATAGAATTGAAGTGTCTGTTCATAACGTCAAAATAACAGATTTTAATTAAATACATATTAAGAAAGTATATAATATAAAAAAATTGTCTGTCTGTATGTCTGTCCGTACCGGCTAATCTCCGAAATGGCTGGACCGATTATGACGGGCCTTTCACTGGTCCGATTGCCGACTACTTCGTTGGTCTAGTGGTTACTAGAGCAACTGTGGATCATGATTTGTTCCTGGGTTTGAATCCCGGGTCGTGCCAAGTATCGTTATTGGATTAATTTGTGTGTTCTAGAAACCACCTTGATAGTTGTATTACTTCCTTTTTGTTGTGTTGTTTCCTTGTAGTATGTTTTCTTATACAAAAGGGAGCAAACGAGCATGCGGGTCACCTGATGGTAAGTGACTACTGCCGCCCATGAACAACCGCAACACCAGGGGAATTGCGGGTGCATTGCCGGCCTTTTAGAAAGGAGTAAGCTCTTTTCTTGAAGGTCCCTAAGTCGTATTGATCCAGAAAAATCGCCGGTGGTAAACAAATCCACAGAGAAGTTATCCGAGGAAGAAAACTCCTAGTAAAACGCACAGTGGTGACCCGTCAAGCATTCAGATGGTGAGGATGGTATCGTGAATTTTGACGCGATGTGAGTTCATAAAATATCGCTGTTGAGATTAAACCGAACCTCAGAGCACTCCCCGAGGTAGATGCGATAGAAAATGCAAAGGGATGCAACATCCGTGCTGTTTAATCCTTCCAGTCCTCAATATTTATAAGACCGTTTCCAGTATCTTTCCCTTACCCATAATCGGGTCCTTCTATCCTCAGTCAATCTCTCTCTCTCTACTGCTTTGCACTCTTCCTCCTTTTTTAAGAAATCCTTTACTGTAACTACTGCGGGTTTGTGGAACTCTTTACCTCTCCATATTCGTTGTGCTCAATCTCTTCATTCTTTCAAGTCTTGTTAAATCGTATTACTTCGAACGCTATTAGATAAATTATTTTTCTCTTTTCATTTAACCTATTGTATGATATTGTACATAATCTTTACTTATCTATATATACATATATATATTTATATGTCTTTTCATATTTTTATTTTGTACGCCCCCTCTATTTTTAACTCTTGTTTGCATCAGTTCTCTACGCTAAGGTTGTCTGTAAGAGATCACATTCAGAGTGATAAGACCGCCTGTTGTACATATTCTACTTTAGATTTAACTGTACTCGTAATTTTGTGTTTTGGTGTATAATAAAAAGTAAATTAATAAATCCCTACGCAGTGCCAGTCAATCAATCCGATCAGAAATAATTTGAACGTCGACGACTCGAACCGCTCTGCGCTGGATGCGGTCAAGTGGAAGGAGCTGACACTGGCGTGCCCCGGCCCAGAGATGAGAGGCCGAATTTGCGTTTTTTAAAGTTGCAAGCGATGTGCCGACACGAAATACTGCCCGGCTTTTCTGAGCACGCCAAGCTTTCTAGACGCCAATTTGGCCTTCCCTTCCAAGTGAACACAAAACTACACAGTCGGCGCTGAGGTTTGCGATGCTAGCTTAGGCAGCAAGGGGAGTGCCTTGAAACTGAGGAGATATGACAAAGGGGTTCTTTTTAGCGGTAAACGCGCAAACTTGTGCCTTCTGGGGATTGAACTGGGCTAGATTTAACCGCCCCAAGTCCGGGACTTTATTCAGCAAATAATCGACTTCAGCACGGAACCTTCAGAACGGCACCACAGAAGATGGAATAAAAAGTTCCATGTCTTGAAGTACCACATTAGTGACAGAATCAGCAACATTGCTTGGATTGTCCAGCGAGAAGCAAAGCCACCCTCAAGAGTAGAATGCAAAAAAAGACCGCATCCTTTCCCAATCAGCCGGCCTATAGTGCCAAACGCAGCGGCAGCCTGCAGAATGCAACTGCGACGATAGTGTGAGTGACACCACCCTCCGGACAAGACAATGGCCCTAGGAGCCATGAGGGGTGTCGACGGAAATCTGATATTCGTCCGGATGAAAGGTCAGCAGAAGTTCCAACAGGGAAGGTGCATGATCCTCCACATCTGGAATCCGCGTAGGCAAAGTAATCAGCTGTGTAAGACCATATGCTAAGGCAGTCATAAACAAATTTCCCTACATGATCGGTTAAATGTGAACCGAACCATCGGACCATTCGGCGTGATGGTCGTTAAAATCGCCAGGATCACGATCTCTGTGGATACCCCCCCCCACCCCCCCCAATGCCAGAATACGCGGAACAGCTAGAGCACATACGCTCAGGAACAGTAGGGTAGCTAGGACGTGGGTGCTCAGCGAAGGATTCTCCGTCACCAGTATGCTGGTACCCTCCTGGGGTAGTATTGTATTTGTTTCCGCTATCATACTTTAAGGGGGGGGGGAAGTGGGCCTCCGACCCCCTACACTTACCAAGCGAAACGCAGAAGTAAACTTCTACTTCACTTCAAAAGCTGCGGCGTGGCTTCACCAATGTTAAAACGTAAACATGGAATAAATTCTCTTTACTTTTTTTTGTCCGTCATAAGTAAACAACCGATACACAAGAATAAATTATTTTCTTCGTTATGAGACAAGTCCTATGTAAACTGCCCCCACGATACAGTATGAAATTCTAGTGCTTCACACTAGGATAACGTAACATTTACAAAACTTACATTTTCTTACACGTAACATTAAAAAAAAGTTATTTTAAATTTGTCGAAGCGTGTGAATCCGACAGTGCTATCTTACAATAATTTAACTTACTTGAAATACAGAATAATGATTTTAAATCTGCATTTTTGTGTAAAATTTAAGTGACAAACGCACTTACAGTCCATCTGGTGGTAAGTGGTTACTGCAATCCATAAACTCTTGCAGCCAACTATAAACAAGGAAAGCCACAGATGCGTTGTGACCATTATAGTAAAGTGGGCGGGGCTTAACATCCCCTCACCCCGCAAATTGTCACGCGTTGTTACAAAGTGAATCACAACACCTCCTCTTTGAATTTGCTACATGGTGTAGACGGCCTTGGCGGCTATAAGTACGCGAAATGGAATAACATCCATCTCCCTCACACTTTTTCTTATCTTGCCATGAATGAAATATTATTTTATTTTAAATGACGCTTCATTTTAACAGACGATAGTAATTCATTTATTTGTATTTGTTAATAAATATTATAATACGTTTATCAATAATAATATATTACGAAAGGAACTTCGTTCTGACCGAGTGTTCCAAGAACTCACGCATGTTTTTATTATACTATACTATATAACTTAATCAGATAGTTCTCCATGATGGCACTACTCCGGAGGCGTAGAGCAGAAGTGTGGTAGTTTGATCTTCAAGAATGGTGAATGAAACGCTCTATTGAAGAACTACAGACAGATTTCACTTCTGAGTCATTAAGAACCGTCTCGCACTCAAACTCGACGAATTCCAGCCTTCCGAACAAGCCAGTTTTAGATTAATAGCTAATTTTGTTATTAATCTTCTCAGGACTTCTATATTATAATACTATTCTTTTCATTTCTGATTCTGGTAGGGTTGCCATATAATATCGGAAGGTCCCAATGAGACATGTTGTCGAATTAAATTTTCTACTTATCTTTTTATATAAAAATTACGTGTCACATTGTTTGTCCGCGATGAACCCCTAAACTATTAAACTGATTGCAATGAAATTTTGCACACTGTATGCAGTTTGGTCTAACTTGAGACATAGGATAGTTTTTATCCCTACAAGTGACCCTCAATATTTTTTATTATGAATTTAAGAATTTTTATAGGACACAAGGTCGTCGGAGAGGTTAGAACAACGTCTGCCTGGCCCGCTAGTTCTATTATAAATATTTATATATAATATAATGTGACATGTGTCCTAAATTACACTATCGTTATTTATCAGTCTGTAACATTCTATTTCTGAAAATGGGGTTCTCGTATTGTAGAACGTAATTGTCATAATCGCCACAGTAAACAAGTAAACTGCAGATCGCAGTTTTAGCATCTTGTGCCTTTCACGCTGGTCTGGGTATTTACATCGGTTATAAATGAGTTAGTGTACCACCATATAACGGATTCAGATATCCATAAACCTTAAATAAAAATATGTATACTCACTACATATAGTTTCCAAGGCATTACGTCGTGTGTAAACCCATTGGTCGAAGGGGCCCTTGCCTACCTGTAGTGATAATAAGTCAAAACATAATTTATTGTTATATTATTTGTAATATAAAAAATGCCGTGTAGTGGCGGTGTAAGAATCTGCAATGAGGCGACAGAGGGAAACTGAGGCTGGAGACGGGCTTCAGCAGCTTTCTGGTAACAGTAATATTACAATAAATACTGCGGTTGCCAAATATGGCAAACATCCCTCCATGAGCAACGACACAAAGAAACGTCCCCCAGTCCCCGGCGGAATTGCGATTAGACTGCAAAAACTACATTGCACCATGACTTAAATACATTTTCAACGATACACTGTACACCGAAAACATTACAACACAATGGACTACATCATTGATCATCCTGCTTAACAAAAAAGGCAACAAAGATGAAATTAACAACTATAGACCTATTAGTCTAATGTCCAATAATTATAAAGTTTTCGCAAAAGTAATTCTGACCCGAATAACCAGAACTCTGGACGAAAATCAGTCCAGATGTCAGGCTGTTTCAGGACGGGATATTCAACGTTAAATCACATACATGTTGTAAGACAAATTTTTGAAAAGAACAAAGAATTCAATGTACCATTCTACTGTTGCTTTATCGATTATAACAATAGAACACGAAAAGATCTGACCCTGACTGAAGAATCAAGGTGTCGAGCATAAGTACATTAGAATTCTAAAAAGACTGGCAAAAGACATACCGCCAAATGATGCGAATCGTGTTCCGGTATGATGTAGGTGAAACCCATTTCTTAGGGAGAATGGGTCTGGACAATTACGTTGCGTATACGAACCGGCTGTGAGCGGCCGTTTCTTAGTGTCAGGTGCCTGGTTATGGAGGTTAGCGGGATCCAAAGCACGGTTGCACCGCTGGCCGGCCGTAGATAGTTGGGGCCCCAATTAATGAGCCAGCTACTCATGAAAGGCTGCCCCGCCATCTTACGAAAAATCCTGGGATGGCTCCAACATGCCGGTTGGCGACCGGAGGAGAGGGCCTTGTGGCAATTTCCAGGGGAGTTCGGGCGTCCCCACGATTTCCATGCTAGGTACCATCGATGCTGTGACTCTGTTTGCGTCCCTAGGTTATATGTGTGACGCCTCGTCCAACTGTTATTTTCTTAACCTATTCACTTCCATCATTAATAAAAAAAGGAAAAAGAAGAGTAAGTCTGTACAGCGGTTGCACTCCCTCTCCATCAAAGTGCACCTCACAAACATCCGAGGCCTGCACTGTAATCTCAATGCAGTCCATTACCATCTTGAGACTGACAAGCCGCACTTACTCTTCTTGACTGAGACGCAGATCAGATGTCCTCTAGATGCGGCGTACCTTGACTACCCTGGGTACACATTAGGGGCATAATTTCCATCAGCGCGCCGGAGTCTGTGTTAACGACCGCAATGACATCTGCTGTAAGCGTCTCCGTCACCTTGAAGACCTCTCTTTCTCTACGATCTGGGTATTGATAGACACAGGAATGGATAAAACTATTTATTCTTGTGTCCACCAATCTCACAGCGGTGACCAGGAGACAATTAGGTTGTTTGAACACCTCAGTGAAACCTCTGATGTGGCTCTAAATCGGTACCCTAATGCACAGTTGGTTTTTCTGGGGGACTTTAATGCCTGTCATCAGGACTGGCTATTCCCATACCAAAAGACCGACCACGTTGGGAAAGAGGCGTGGAATTTTGCCTTGTCGCTGGGGCTCTCCCAGCTGGTACAACAACCGATTAGTGTACGTGATGTGGATGGGCATACAGCCAATTGCCTCGATCTTCTGCTGACGACCCCGATCAAAACAGGTACGATGTTCAGGTTATCTCACTCTTGGGAACTTCTGACCACGGTCTGGTGAAATCCGTGTCACTATATTCCCCACCTAACTACGATTTCCACGGAGTGCGACGAATGTGGCGATACAGGTCAGCAGATTGGGATGAGATGCGGCATTTTTTTGCATCTTATCCTTGGCGGCAGGTCTGCTTCTCCTCTGAAAACCCGTTGAGCTGCGCGGATGCCATAACCAATGTGATACGTCAAGCGATGGAGTATTTCATCCCCTTTGCTGACGTGCCCATTGGTGGTAAAGTTCGCCCATGGTTTAAAGCCGAGTGCGCTCTTGCTGAAAAGCACAAACATATGGCGTACTTATCCTGGATCGATGCTAGAGACCGTAAAGCTCCGGATGTTAGCCTTAAGAAGAGAGCTACCAAGCCACCGAGTCCTGCAAAAAGGTACTTCCAAGCCAGTTTCAACCGCATTAAACGCATCGGCACAAAGCTCTCTGTAAAACCATCTGGCAGTAAAGCTTTTTGGTCGAGACATAATTCTGTAGGTCTACTCTGCCTCCACTGATAAAACCAGATGGCTCACTGGCGCATGCACCTAAGGAGAAAGCGGACTTATTTGCTTCTATTTTTGCTTGCAACTCGCGTCTGGACAGTAACAACAGCGTACCATCTCAATTACCTCACTGTGGTACCTCTATGACAGAGATCCGTATAACCAACAAAGAGGTTCATATAACCTTGCACAGTCTAGACGTTAACAAAAGTTACAAACGTTCTAAAGGCTTGTGCACCTGAGTTGTCTTCTGTATTGACACGCTTGTTCCGCCTCTCATTCAGGACTGGAATAGTGCCCAAATCTTGAAAGCTGGCCAATGTGCTGCCTGTGCCTAAAAAAGGTAGCCGTACCGACCCTGCCAACTATCGGCCAATTTCAATTATCTCCATACTCTGCAAGATTATGGAGCGCATATTGAACGCCCATCTCATGGCATACCTAGAAAAAAATGATTTCCTCAGTGATCGCCAGTACGGGTTTCGCCGAAATCGATCAACTGGGGACTTTCTAGCGTATGTCACTCACATATGGGGCGAAGCCCTCGAGAACAGTGGTGAAGCATTTGCTGTTTCCCCTTGATGTTTCAAAGGCCTTTGACTAGGTTTGGCACGCTATTCTATCTATTGGGAAAGCTTTCAGCGTACGGCTTATCCCCTGGCCTGATTGCCTGGGTGAAGGACTTTTTGAGTGAACGATCTCTCCGGGTCGTCGTCGATAGCTGTTCATCCGGTACAGTGGCGACTAACGCCGGTATTCCTCGGGGGTCCGTTCTCTCCACAACTCTCTTCCTGCTGCATATAAATAATCTGCTCATTTTGTTTTATTTATGGGTATGCAGACGACCGCATATTTGTGGAGAGATACCAACCAAGTGCCCGGACCAGTCGGGATCAAATCCAGTCAGAAAGAGAGGCTATGGTTGAGCGTGTCAGTCTTACACTACAAGCAGTCTCCGAATAAGGCGATGCCAATCTCGTGAGACTTAATGCCTCCAAAACACAAGCGTGTCTTTTTACCGCTAATAGGAGCCAGCTCAACTTGGCTCCTACTTTCCGGAATGTATCTGTGGCGGCGCTGTCGTCGCGCCACAAGCGAAACACATCGAAGCCTAAATCGCGCTATCAAAGTTCCGAAATTAAATCAGCATATATAGAATAGCTCCGAACTACCAATCGGAGCGCTGGCCGCTCCCCGGGCAGAACACCTTGCCCGGCGGGAGATCTCCCCTTTTCTTTCCACCCGCCACAATGGTGACCCCGACGTGATATGAACACGCAACCAACAATCTTCGGAAACTACAATTTCAAAAACTTCGTCATCTTACTTAAGTACCCCATTCATTCGCTCCCGAGCAGACATTGTCTGCAGTCTTCACATTCTGCAAGCCATCTAGCTTTACAATAGGTTCATCGCAGCACTGGAATAATAATGCTTCCTGTTCCTTCAAGCTACTCTCTGCGCTACAGTGTTCGGCACAGCTCTGAGCCTTACTGCTCGCCTCTGCTTCACGGCACTCTCGCAGATTACTTGCCTTCTTCTCGACTCACCGCAGACTACAAGGCAATCCCTGGCACTTGCTCCGGCTCATCGTTCTCACCGGCATCACTTGCAAGTGCGTAGTACGGCATGCATTACACACCGGCATATCATTCGCACCGGCGTCACTTGCCCTTACGCACACAGCATGCATTCCCCACCGGCATTTAAGGACGCACCGGCAATCGGACTGCACTATCGACCTCCGGTCTGAGCAGGGGGGTGATGTGGCGGCGCTGTCGTCGCGCCACAAGCGAAACACATCGAAGCCTAAATCGCGCTATCAAAGTTCCGAAATTAAATCAGCATATATAGAATAGCTCCGAACTACCAATCGGAGCGCTGGCCGCTCCCCGGGCAGAACACCTTGCCCGGCGGGAGATCTCCCCTTTTCCTTCCACCCGCCACATATCCTTGGAGTACACTGACCGCCTTCAGTTGTTGGGGATTGAATTTTCTCCAAACCTAAACTCTGGGCGGTTCATTGAGTCCAGAGCCAAAGCAGCCGCAAGGAAACTTGGTATCCTTGCAAGAGTGGGGCGGTACTTCACGCCGGCGCAGCTTCTTACCTTATATAAAGCGCAAGTCCGGTCGTGCATGGAGTACTGCTGGCACATATAGGCTGGTGCTGCAAAATGACACCTCGACTCAGTGGAGAGACGTGCTAAGAGGCTCATTGGTGACCTTGATTTGGTTGAAACCAGTCTTGTCAGCCTCGAGCACAGGCGCAGAGTAACCAGTCCCTCGGTAGTCTATAGGATGCATTTCGGTGAGCGTGCACAGGAATTACACGCTTTAATTCCTCCCTCTCCTTTCCACCATCGGACATCCAGGCGGTCGGCGGGCCTTCATCCCTTTGTTGTTGATATTCCACGCATTAGAACCCAAACGGTTTGTTTCGTCTTTTGTTACGCGTACAGTAAAGGAGTGGAATAATTTGCCGGCGTCCATCTTTCCGTTTGAATACAATCTGGGCGTCTTCAAGGCAAGAGTGAATAGGCTTTTGTTACGGTAAAACAGTGCGATTTACCATCTAACGCTACATCACCACTTACCACCAGGTGGTATTGTGGTCAAACACTGGCTTATAATAAGTAATAAAAAGGTATACACTAACAGTACAGCTAGGATACAATTAGAAAAAGAGGGGAATGAAATAAAAATAAATAGAGGCGTTCTTCAAGAAGACCCGCTATCCCCTATATTATTTACAGTTATCCTAGAAGAAATCTATCGCAAACTTAAATGGGATCAGTATGGACATAAATGGAGAAAAACTAACCCACTTACGCTTCGCCGACGACATTATATTATTCGCCACAACAAAAGAACATCTGCAAAACATGCTCCTAGACCTGGAAAGAGAAAGTCGCACACCTACCGTGCGTACCGTTAACAATGAACACTTCTAAAATCAAAGCCATGCCAAATGCACACGAAGACCCTATCATCGTAAATGGCGAGCCGATTGAGTATGTGAAAGAGTACATTTATTTAGGACAACAAATCTCAACCACCGACATAATGTCAAGGGAAATATGTAGTTAATAGAATTGGGAAAGTATGAAAATGTGACTGGCAGCTAAAAGAAGTAATGAAGAAAACAAAAATTAAGATGTCCGTCAAATCAAAGCTGTTCAACACCTGCGTGCTACCAGTCCTAACATATGGTTGCTAACTAGGGCACTCACTAAAGCGCAAAACAAGAAACTAGAAATCGGTCAGACAGCAATGGAGAGTCATCATTACAGCCTTTCATAAGTCCACTGCTAAACATAGGCCTCCCCCAAGGAATGCCACAAAGCACGGTCCTGAGCCACCTGCATCCATCGACTTCCTGCATGTCTTACCAGATCAATGGAGAGTAGCATGCTGAATATAAAGAAATTGGATAGAATAAAGATCAGAATTATTAGGAAACGTACCAAAATAGAAAATGTAACAAGTAGAATAGGAAAACTCATGTGGAATTGGACAGGCCATATAATTAGAGGCATTGAGAAATGGAACAAAACCATTGTATTTTGGCACCCAAGAAATAGATAAAGGAAATGAGTTAGACAGTTTCGAAGGTGCGTAGATGAAATATAAGCCACAGCAGGGAAAAAATGGATAAAGAAAGCGATGGACCGAACAGCGTGGAAAGAAATGGAGGAGGCCCTTGCCAAAGTTGGGCAAACAGACCAAGTTGTTGGTGTCATCGACTAACCAGAGTCGTGAATATAAGATTTATGTGATAGAAAATGTGTCTGAATAAAAGCTCATATTATTATTATTATAAGCAAAACAAACAGATATAAAGCGAACGGACGGTTTTCTGTCGACTAGCAAAATACTCGACTTTTGACAGTATTTGTATTCACTCGTCGACTGCAAGAATATAATTGTCGTTCACGAATAAACTTTTAGTTATTATTCAAGTATACTTTAAAAAAAGTGTTTGTTCTAAAAAAACAATTATCTATACTATAGTAAAACTCTAACAATTTTTTATTTATTTATTGAATATATTTTGGAGATTTGAATTAGGCTATACTCGTACAACACTATCGATGAAGAGGCCATATTAACAACCTTTGAAAATATTGTCAGTCGATTTTGCCTACTTTGGCCTTTGCTAGAGCCCATTCATTTACAATATGTAATTTTGGTTATTTCTGTTCATACCTTACTACTCATTGTAAATTTTTTTTGACCCAGTAGAGCCTGACGCAGTCATTTTTATTATTATATAATATACCCCAATTCAAATTTCATATAAATATTCTATGTAGAAAAATTATCGTGTTAGATTTTTATTGTAGTACTCGTATAGATAGTTATAGATGATAATAATGATATATATTACCTCCACTTCTAAATCCTTAACAAGTCGCCTGGACTGACTGTTAAAAACCCCCTGAAATCCATCTAACACCAATTGACTAAAAGCTGGGCTTAGCAGTTTTCGATGACGCTTCCATATTGACACTGCGAACACATATTTTACAAATGTACTACACAAAAAAATATTCACGGTCTTAAAAAATCTGTATCCCGTATCACAATGTTTAATTTAATATAATCTTTCAATGTGAATGTATAATTATAATATATAAAGGTTAAAACATACGTACCTGTTCCGGTTATCAAACCCTCCCCGAACCAGGGTTTAGCAAATTCATATATAGTTTCCTTCTGTAAGCAAGCGTTAGCAAAAGTCAAGCTGTCTTCGGGATCTGTTACCACTGGAAATGAATTAAGGCTTAAAATATTATTTGAGTGCACACCTTATAGTAAACACGGAATACTTTCTAATAAATACAATACCGTATATGGTCCGAGGTCCAACTGACAATGTTATCACACCACCCATTCTTAAGCTCGTATATGATATTTGTTTCACTAAATTCCAAAGATCTGGGAAATAGATGAAGAAGCATAGCCTTTATAAGTAAATAATCCTTAAGTTTAAAGTATGTTTTGATTGTGCCTATAATTGGCCTTAGCTTAAGTCTTAAACTTTAAAATGATCAATGATTTGGATGCGTGTCCAATATTTCGCGGATGATTTTGGTGAGCTGGATCATCAGAACCTCAGCCTAGAAATAGTCGCAACGCTGATGTTGATAAGTGATTTGGCGTGTAACCGTCTTCCGTAATGTAGTCATGATTAAGAAAGAGGATCCTAAGATAGATCAGGAGAGGACAGATCTCACACGAAGACGACATCGCCGAGGCATATATCACATATCAAATTGCAGATTCGTTATCATCCATGAGTACTAAGATAGAAAGTTTTATTACCTAAACTATTAAACCCGTACCATTATAAAAAAGACTTCCTGTTCTCTACAATCACCATGCGCGTGTATTCCGTAAAAACTTGCTTCTACCTCAGTCGAGCCGACCCATTCGTGCAGCAGCTTTTTATAAATAGAGCGAGGGATGTTAAAATTTTAATAAGAATTGTTTTATAGCTATATTAGATAACAAGTAAGCTCATTGTCGACCTGCTGGTAAGTGATATACAGTTTATGGAAATCTACGCCAGCCCTAAAAATAAAGCGCACAGGTGCGTTGTTACGTCTGGAAAAAGAATTGCTTAAATTAATGTTTTTACACATTTGAAACTCTTCACGATAACGATATAGAGGATAAAGGGATTTATCAAGGGAAATTTGTATACTTACAAACACTATTTCCTATCAGAAGATGTAAATGTCCAATGAGCGGCAATGCACCTGGATAAGCGGGCGGTTCCAGTTTAGACTTTGTATTTCGAAGCCACCATGTCCAACTTAGCACGAACGTTATACAAAACAAAGCTAAAGATAGCATCTCGATCAACCCTGAAATGTTAGTGATTATATGAACATTGTCTTGAATATATTATTAGAATGACGTGATTAACGAGCAAAGACTTCAACAATGGTAAACCACGTAGAAGCGTCTACTATTGCACACGGATGTGCCAGCCCGAACCCAGGAAGTACCACGATTTAACATATTACCAGCGTGAAATAGGGGCATAACTCCTCCCCCGACCTCCATATCAAGGTAGTGGAGATAAATTTAGATGTATACCAGCACCCTTTGTAGCGGAGAATCCCTTACTGATCATCTAAGCTATCCTACTATTTCTGTGCGTGGGTGCTCAGGTTGCCTCACAAATCGTACGTAGGGCCCATTTCCAAGAACCAGTTATATACATATAAAATATACATATTGTTACGAGCACCAAAATTGACACTTTAATTACAGAACACTAATTACAACTTAAAACCACTCTAATAATAAAACACAATTGTACTACTGATCACTTTAGTTCGCGGTTGTATCGCTTCGAAGTATTCGCTTGTATCACCAACTCAACACTGAATCCGGTCGCGGCCTTATATAGGGCCTCAGATAGTTCCAGAGCCTTCGACTGTAGAAACATCTAGAATGATCGAGTACATAACGCTCCCGATTGACTAGGTGTCGATAGTTCTAGAGAGTTCTTCCATGGAAATTTTTAGAAGGATCTTGACTCTTCTAGTTCTGCTACTCGATACTAGAAGGTGCTAGTGGTAACATGTGTCGCCATGTACCAGGCATTAATGGTGGCGCGCAACATTATTATTACTTTTTTCATTTTAATCATTTGTAGTATAGCCCCCACGACACTATATATTAGCGTTAAGGTAGAATAAGTTAAGGCAGTATAATTAAAGTTTTGATACCAAAAACTTCTCACCCTTTCTACATTACAGTCATGGCGACCATGCCAGGCGGTGCGCGTGCGTAGTGAACGCGCACCGCCGCAGCCTGCAAAAATTTTTGAAAAAAGAAGATAAAATTATTAATTCTATTACTGAATTGACGTAATATTGGATATGAAAAATAGGAGAGGATGCTACAATAATGATTTTATAGAAGCTGCCTAAGTACACAACGGCATCCGATTGACAACATTTACGCATTTTCTTAGTTCAGTTCAGTTCAGTTCAGTCCTTAGTATTTACTTGCTGCATTACAGGAGAAATATTGGGTATTATCAGCTCGCCACGTGGTTGGATACCGCATAGATGTAACAATCTGTTTTAGACATAAACTTAAACCTCATAACCCCAGTAGTGCAATGCATTTAGCCACACAGGTGTGGATTTTTTTTGGATAATACTCAATGTCTTCAGTCACCTTTAGGCGTTGTTACCAAATTGTATCCGAGTAGTGATGGTGTGGCACACATTGCGCAAGTTAAACTTAAGAATTCTACTCTAAGACGCTCTCTTATCAAACTGTGTCCTTTACCAACAAAATGATTAGGCGTAACTATAGAACGGGTTATGTTTCGGGTTTCACCATTGGATATGTATAATTCGTCCTAGAGGTTTAAAAAGGTGCAATGAGTTGGAAAATCTAGAGTAGTTAGTTACAAAATAAAAAATAAATATAATTTTGTAAATTATTCACTATTAAACATTCTCTTATTCCTCGTAACAGAGAAAATTAACAATGTCTAGTACAATTAGAATTTTATAAACTTTGAATTACGTTAAAGAATACCGAACCACAAATCATTGACATCATAATCTATTTGCTTCGGACGTCAATTCACAAATTTTATCCTTTTTAGTATGTATTGTAAATCTCTTATACTAGAAAGGAAATGTGATAACATACCAAAGGTAAGATTTACATTTTGTATTAAAAATTTAAACTATGTATTTGATAATACAGGCAACGTAGTGATTCTATTCTCTTTTTTTGTATAGGCTCTTAAAAATATTTGGCTTTAAATTACCTATTTTTGATAAACAATAAATTTCAATGGGGCTTACGAGTTCCTTTTTGATAATACATATATCTGTTTACAACAATGAAAGTCGCTAACAACAAATAGTTATCAAATATTTATTAATTAACAGGTTTTAAACTTACTCTATACTAAAATTGTTTATGTCATAATTACGAAAAATATTTTTTATTATACTACGAACATAAAATATAACCAAACTACACAACACACACTCTTTTTCTCGTTTAGAATTTTAAAATATTCTTAAATGTTTTGATTGATGATTTGCAAATTTTGACAAAATTAATTGCCGGTACACTCAATGGCGGCACTTCAAATCAGCACACACGTTTTGTAGGATAGTAGTATAAATAGAGGTCAGTGCGATGAGGAAATACAAAATATAATATCCTTTCTAACAATACTGTTGCTAGTCTAGGTGTATGTGGTGTATAGAAGCATTAAAGCCACTACTTCAGAATGTGAAATTATTGTTATATTCTTTTTTAAATTTTATTTTATTATATTTTTTTTATTTTAAAATAATTTTTCTACCCCTTTGAATGGACCAAGGAATATCATAATCTGATTGTTGTCGACGTAGTTATATTAAAAACTTTATCCCATATTCCCTATTTCGCTTCATCCTTAAGGGTGGATTATTTTTTGGAAATTTATAAGAAACCCACCTCTAAATTGTTACCTTTTTAATGAAATAAAAATCAATAAAGCCTTTGCATAAAACTGGTTCACAGTTGAAGAAGATATCGTGTAACAGGAATACAAAAAAAAAACAGTCAAATTAAGATTTATCTATTTTTTTAGTCTGCTAAATAAACTCATTATCTTAACTCAAAGTCAAAGTAATTTATTTGTAGATTGCTATGGTGTGTTAGTATAAATAGAAAAAAATAACTAAAGTTTACTTACTTACATCAGAAGGTTAATTATTAAAAATAATAATAGTGTAAGAGCGGATGTTTAACTTGCACTCCTGTTTACGCAATTAATCATTTCATAATCAGTCACAAAACAGCTTACTACACTATACATTCAGTATAAAGCAATTACAAGACAACCATACCCTAATATTTCCCCGTCACAATTACTCAGCGACACGATCTTCCTTGCATGCACTAGAAGAATTACTACAAGCGAGCACACAGTCCACCTGATAGTAAGTGGATGCTGTGGCCCATAGACATCTACATTCATCATATAATAAAATGTAGATGTTTGTCACTCCTGAGGAGAAGATAAAATTCCTTGTCTCCAGTTTTCTACATTCACCATATGAAACAAAGAAGTATTAAGCTGCTATTTTACGCTTGCATTCTGTGAGAGGGTCGAGCCGACCCGTTTGTGTTACAATCATTATATATCTGCAGCATATATAGCAGTAACGTAACCTACTTTCTCCATTATTAGCAAAAACATCTGAAAATCTGTTGACCCTATTTTCGAGCGTAACCCTCGAAAATCTATGTTTTTTTTTGGTTTTCATTTTTGGAAAATTTTTAAAACAGCAACGATTGACTTGAAAATGTAATCAGCTCAAAGTTACAATAAAAATTTTCAAACGCAGTGTCGCCCATCTCGATCGGTTGATTCGTTACGAAAATATTTTAACTACATACACACACACGGCCGGATGTCTAGCCGGGAATAGTCGAAACGGCTTCCTAGGACCACAAAATGTGAGGATCTGATAAAAAATCGCGTTCTCAAAATTGGACCGAAAAATATACGTACTACTTTTTAAAATTATTAATTTTCAAAGCGGGAAGTTAAAAAATGTATTTAGATGCAAAATGATGGCAGAAGTGACAGTTGGTTAACTTATCGCCTACACAATCACAATCCCAAATATATCCCATTACTCGCTTTCTATGACATTTTAGGCATATTTAGGCTAAGTCCACAAAAACATGGGAACATAGATATTATTTCAAATGAAAATACCCCATTGAAAAAACAATTATAAGAAAAACAGTGATCACAAAGTACTTACAAAAATAACAAATTTTATTTTATTTTCTTTCAATGATTACAAAATTTTAAAAATATTTTTAAGTATGTACGTATTTAAACACTTGCGTAATGCTCATTGCATTTTTTACGGTTAACCGAACTTTTCTCGAAGATTACTAAGAACACGAATAAGTTTTTCTCATTCTGTTGCCACAATATATATATGTATATACCAAATTGTTGCTATTATAGTGTTTACCGACGTAAAAATTTAATTCCCACGGCTTCTCCACACACGATTTTTCCATAATTCATATTTGTTTCTTTAAAAATAATAGATGATCCTAAACACAAACGAGTTATTATGGTAACAGCAACGGTTAACATGAACTACAAAACTATTAAGATAGTTTTGTAGTTAATGAAATAAAACTACTACAAAAATATTATGAACTACAAACTACTACACGATTACTTGAGATATTTCATGATTTCTTTATTTACTAAAAAATTTGCTAAAAATAAAAACTGTGATTAAAATGTAAATTCTGTAATTTGTCTGGATATTTTATACTTATGTAACAAAAGTGATTCCACATTTCCGAATTTTTAGCCCGCAGTGTATTTGTAACAACGAATGTAAGTGAGCTTAAGCGAAATAATTCGCAAACAGTCGGATAAAACAAACAAATGACCACAAAACAATGACACCACTTCGCGGAAGACTATAAACTTTGTGAATTGGAATAAATAACAACGAAAAAGTGTATTTAGGTGAGCTGGTGTCATTTGATACAAATAGCAACGAAAATGAAGTTGAGAGAATAAATATAACACGGAAGAAATATTGAGCACAAAAATAAATTCTAAAAGGAAACTACAACCCGAAAATATAAAAAACAATAATGGATTCTCGGGTTCTCCCAAGCTTAACTTATGTAAACCAAACATGGGCATGCACTGAAAAAATAGAAAAATAATTCTTGTCCTGTCAGCATGTATGGAAAGAGGTATACTGAAGTTGAGAAAAATACAGAAAACAAAAAACACAGATATTCGCAAAAAAAAAACAAATATAACGGATGCC